AACCAGGACTTTTTTTTTTTTTTTTAATTGATGTTGCACATGATTATTTGATTTACGTTTTTTTTCAAATCTGTGATATATCAAAGTGTAATCCATTTTTTTGGCTGAATGTAATCTCCTTTAAATCTTAAAAAGATTCATGTTCTCTGAATGATGCCATCATAATCATGTTTACACATAGTGAGCATGTAAACAATTTAAATGAAAACAAACACATTCCAAATGAGTGTGAAGGAGACTCACTCAGGGAAATGAAAGAAATATGAAATACGTGTGTTTTCATTTTTCATAGGGATTATTATTTTAAGAGTTGGAATTTGTTTTTGAAATATGTTACATTGTAGAATACATTCAACGTTTATTTTCTGAGCCTTGCTATGTGCTAAGCACTATGGGGGAACACAGTAGTGAATGAAATCCTTGTGGCCTCTAGGGGACTGTCAGTGGGGGCAAGTTACTATAACACAGAGCAGAGCAACCTATGGTAAGTCCTGGATTTTTAAGAATCGTCTTTTTCACTAAATCAGACTTTTTTAATAGGTTGAGAGAAGAATAATGGATTGATTTAATAACCTGTTGCGATGGGAAAGTGTTTCATTAGAATATTGTTATCTCTCATGTGCTATTGCCAGGAGTTGATCCTTAAATGTGATAAAAGTGGCATTTATGGAGAGGTTGCAGGGATCCCTTTTCGCCTCTCCTTATGCACCATTTACTCCTATATTTTGTTAGAGGGATGTTGTGGCTTTGTCGTAAAAGTACAGGGTATCCTACGGTGATTTTGATGCATATTTTCAATTGAGAATGATTTGTTTGGTTTGAATGAAGGAATGGACTCTGAGAGTAGGATTTATTTACTGGTACAACTGTATCTGTCTTGCCTAATTATAGTTCTTTCTTCTAAGATCCTCAAAGTGTGGCCTGTGCAGTATAAATGTATCCATTTGTTTAGTACATCTAATTAAGTTCATGGATCATTTCTAAAGTAGCAGTAATCTGCCCATTTATTCAACTGATTGTACTGTGACATGCTGGATCGGATCAGTGGTTTATGGTGCTTTTGCTCTGACAGAAATGTTAATGAATGGAAAAAAAGTGTTGATATCTCTCTAGAGAATTTAAAGCTTAATCTTAATAATACCTTATACTTGTAAGACTGTTTATAATAGAACACTTGGAGAATTCTCTTATTTCATTTCCCCAGAATTTTATTAAATAGGTAGGGAGAGCAGCATGTGTCTATGTTTGGAGACTTGGGATCAAACCTCAGCATTATTGCTACTCGTTGAAAAACCTAGTAACCTTTATCTTTTCTTCTCTCTCTCTCTCTCTCTCTCTCTCTCTCTGTCACCAAGGCTGGAGTGCAGTGGTGCAATTTCAGCTCACTGCAACCTCCACCTCCTAGGTTCAGACAGTTCTCATGTTTCAGCCTCCCAAGTAGCTGGGATTACAGGCATGTGCTACCACACCTGGCTAATTTTTGTATTTTTAGTAGAGATGGGCTCTTGCCATGTTAGTGAGGCTGGTCTCAAACTCCTGGTCTCAAGAGATCTGCCTGCCTTGGCCTCTCAAAGTGCCTCCAGTAACCTTTTAAAGTCTGTTCTTATTTGTTTGTTTGTTTGAGACAGGGTCCTGCTCTGTTACTCAGGCTGGAGTGCAGTGGTGTGATCATGGCTCACTGCAGTCTGGTCCTCCTGAGCTCAAACGACCCTCCTGCCTTACCCTCCTGAATAGCTGGGACTACAGTCATGAACCACCATCCTTGGCTAATTTTTTTTTCTTTGTAGAGATGGGACTTTTGCCACATTGCCCAGGCTGGTCTCGAACCCCTGGGCTCAAGTGATCCACCCACCTTGTCCTCCCAAACTGCTGGGATTACAGGCTTGAGCCATCATGCCTGACCTATTCCCATTTATAAAAGGGGAATGATAATAGCTGTTCTTACCACAGAACTTTAGTTGAGGCTAAAAACAATATAAAAATACATTTGCAGTCTTTCTTTACTTTGTATCTTGCCCTTTCAATTCATCATATGAAGAAACTTATTCTCAGAGGTGGTAGGAGACCTGTCAAAGGTAGAATAGATAGTGACAGACAGACTTAGGTCCTCTTCTGACTCAAAGGTTTGAGGTTTTCCCCACTGAACTAAACTTTTGGGTAGGGACAGTATCAACTGATTGTTGAAATGGAAACAATTTTATCTACTTTGATTTCCCTCTCTGTTTTTAGATAAAAGAGGGACAGATGTTCAGAGGAATGTAATGGCTTTCTAAGTCAACAGCCTCCCAAGTGGTAGATAACAGCAGTCTCCTAGCCAGATACTTCTTCGAGAGCTCTCTGCCTTCCCTGGCTCACTTTCTCTTCATTCAAATTATTCTCTAGAAAAACATTGTCATTTAAAGGTCATCCTGTCATATCTGAAAGACACTGCACTACCCCGGTTCATTAGCTGAAAACCCCCTATTTCTCTTGTGTGCACCCCACTTTTCAGGGAAAGTAGAACCCACAAAAGTAGAACTTCCAGTATTGACCTGCTAAAGTGCTCCAATATTGGGCTTAATTTACCAAGTTTATAATGACAAGCTGAAAAAGAGTAGTCCAATTAAAATCTGGTAACAGATATTAATACATTTTAAAGAATAAGGATAATGAACGATGCTAAAATAACATGTAGTGTGAATCTGGTTGTAAACAAAAATTACCTTTAACAAATTATATTCGAGTTAGTGTTTATACACCAGGTTTCAACATTATAAGACATGTATTTGGATAACTGTATACTTCATGGAAGTATAATAAACATATGTGTACTAATAATCTTAAGAATACCTGCCTGTTTAAAGGTATTGTAGGTTGGAGGCAAAGTTGATTTGTATAACTTATTTTTTATTTTTTTGAGACAGAGTCTTACTCTGTCACCCAGGCTAGAGCGCAGAGGCATGATCTCGGCCCACGGCAACCTCCGCCTCTTGGGTTCCAGCGATTCTCCTATCTCAGCCTCCTGAGTAACTGGGATTATAGGCACTCACCACCATGCATGACTAATTTTTTGTATTTTTAGTAGGGACGGGGTTTCACCATGTTGGCCAAGTTGGTCTTGAACTCCTTACCTCAGGTGATCTGCCCGCCTCGGCCTCCCAAAGTTCTGGGATTACGGGTGTGAGCCACCGTGCCTGGTCAATTCATATAACATATTTAATATGTGGTTATAGTTTGGATGTTTCTGGATAATCATTTAAGGATGCACCAGTTACTGGATAACAGAACAAGATATGTCAATCTAAGTTTCAAATTTCAAATGCTTGGAGACTGCCAGATTTCATAGATTTGGAAGGGAAATCCCTGGAACCAAATCTCAGAAAGTTGGCCAGGTAGCCAATGGTGGACATTTTCTGTGACAGAGTTTTTGCCACTGGAGCAGTATCTTTGAACTGTTCTCATCAGCACAGAATTCTTTTTATTTGGGCAAAATCTGCCTTTCTGTTCTCTAGATACAAATGAAATCCAATCCTTTTTTTTTTTTTGGAGACAGAGTCTCGCTGTGTTGTCCAGGCTTGAGTGCCGTGGCATGATCTTGGCTCACTGCAATTTCCGCCTACCAGGCTCGGGCAGTTCTCCTACCTCAGCCTCTGGAGTAGCTGGTATTACAGGCACATGCCACTACGCCCAGCTAATTTTTGCATTTTAGTAGAGATGGGGTTTCACCAGGTTGTCCAGGCTGGTCTGGAATTTCCGACCTAAGGTGATCGGCCTGCCTTGGCCTCCCAAAGTGCTGGGATTACAGATGTTAGCCACTGTGCCCAGCCTCCAACCCTCCTTTCACATGGTAGTCTTTAGACAACTGATTTTTGAGAACAGACAGTAATTCTCCTCTTAATCTAGTTTTCCTCTTTTCTAGGCCAATCAAGCCTAAGTTTCACACTCTTTTCTCTATATAAAATGATTTCCATATCATTATCCTAAGCTTTGAGAATAATGGTTTTTTTTCTTAATTTTTATTTTGCACCACAGGGGTTTTCACCAATTTTTATTATAAAAGGTTAAAAAAGACTTAAAGGCCAGGCAGGGTGGATCACGCCTGTAATCCCAGCACTTTGGGAGGCCAAGGCAGGTGGTTCTGAGGTTAAACAATCGAGACTATCCTGGCCAACATGGTGAAACACTGTCTCTAATAAAAATATAAAAATGAGCTGAGTGTGGTGGTATGCCTGTAGTCTCAGCTGCTCGGGAGACTGAGACAGGAGAATGGGTTGAATCCAAGAGGCGGAGGTTACAGTGAGCCAAGATTGCACCACTGTACTCCAGCCTGGTGACAGAGTGAGACTCTATCACACACAAACGCACAAAGTTAAAGATTACAGAAAGGAATAAAATGAAAAAAGTAAAGTATTCTCTACTCTCCCTGATTCTTTAGGTCCTTGCCTCAGAGATAACGCCTACTAAAAGTTTCTGGAAAGATTTTCAACATACAACATAAGTATGTGTAAATATATATGCTGTATACATATATGTATACCATTAGAATTATAATAAAATACAGATTCAAAGCTTAACCACATACATATCTGTATATTGTTCAATAATGCTACAATTATATGATAGCTACAATTTAATGATTATAATTCAGGCATTATGCTAAACACTGTGCATATGGTATCATATTTAACCCTCGTAAGAATCCTATAAGTGATAGTAACTGTCCTCTTATAGTTGAATAAACCAAGGCACAAAGAGGTTAAGCAAGTTGCATGAAGTTACACAGGCTCTACTTATTCTTTTTTTTTTTTTTTGAGACGGAGTTTCGCTCTTGTTACCCAGGCTGGAGTGCAATGGCGCGATCTCGGCTCACCGCAACCTCCGCCTCCCGGGTTCAGGCAATTCTCCTGCCTCAGCCTCCTGAGTAGCTGGGATTACAGGCACGCACCACCATGCCCAGCTAATTTTTTGTATTTTTAGTAGAGACGGGGTTTCACCATGTTGGCCAGGATGGTCTCATCTCTTGACCTCGTGATCCGCCTGCCTCAGCCTCCCAAAGTGCTGGGATTACAGGCGTGAGCCACCGCGCTCGGCCCAGGCTCTACTTATTCTATATTGAGTAAAATGCGATAGAGAAATGCCCATAAGATTGCAAATGAAGAATTTAGTGGTGAATTCTTTCATTTGCTTCTTTCTCTGAGGCAAGGAAAAATAGGAGTAATTGAGAGAACCAAAATGGGTTAAGTTGTTTTTGAATCCCATGAAACTACAAATATGTTTTCTTCACTTAAATTTAAAGAATTTAAAAACACTGGCTGACAGCGCCTGCGGGCTGTGCCGCCGGCTAAGGTGCTGGGCTGCTGGGGGCGGGGCGGGGACCCGTGTAGCCTCTGGGCCTTGTTGTGCCCTGGCGCCACCCGGACATCGCTCAGGCCACTGGCACCATGGAGATCTGGACGTCAGGGCACATCTTTGACCACTCGTGGGAAATTGTTACAACAGCTGCAATGCAGAAATAACCAAACCCTATGGATCTAAGTGTAGTTGGAGTTGATGTGTTGGACAGACATATAGATCCCTCTGGAAAGTTGCACAGCCACAGACTTCTCAGCACACAGTAGGGACTGCCTTCCATTGTGAAACCTCTTATCCTTAGTGGTGCAGCAAGAACGAAAACATATGTGCACGAACATTCTGTAGTTGATTCCGTAGAGAAAACAATGGAACTTAACTCTACTAATATTTCATTTACAAATATGGTTTCAGTAGATCAGAGACTTATACACAAACCAAATCCTCAGGACCCAGAAAAAATTGTTTTGACTCAAGAAGCCGTAATCACCGTGAAAGGACTTAGCCTCAGCAGTTACCTTGAAGGTCTGATGGCAAGTATGTTATCCTCAAACACTGTTAAAGGCCGAGAAGCAATGGAATGGGTAATACATAAAGTAAATGCCAAGATTGAAGAACTGACAGCCTCAGGAAGAGGAAGCATAATGACTCCAGGGGCAGCAGCATTTGCTAAGAAGTGATCATGAAAGTTGGTAGAGAACGTGGGGTACCCCAGGTCTCTCCAAGCTGACTACATATTTATGTGTTATTTTAAAAATACAACTATAGTTTAGATAGATTTTTTTTTTTTATAAGTTGGTGTAAGGCTATGTGACTTGATAAAAACAGATGCAGGGCCTCTAAATAAAAGAGATCATCTGAAATTAATATTGTTTGAAATTACTATCTGATCTTGAGGGTTCCAGTATTTCTGTGAAAATTCAACAAGAACTCCTTGGAAATTGGTATTGATAATGAATCTCCTTAAGGTAGAATTTTCAATCTTTTCAAAGGTTGGAACTCTACCTGACTTTGGACCAACCCCAGAACAGAGCAGAGCCACCTCCGATAGACACCCATTGCCCTGCTGCTGTACACTTCAACATCTTGCCCAAGGCAACTCACTTAAAAGGAGAAATTGTGTAGTTTTAAAATATATTTTGTGTAAAATAACTTGCTCTGCTATAAACCACCATTAACCAGTGTTTTAATTTGGTAATTAAATATTTTTGGAGTGAAAATTATCACTAAAGTAACCTGACTCCAACAAAAGTATGGTTTCATTATATTAAAGAGTACTGTATTGATTTGTCAAAGGTTTGTAACTTAGTAAAGGTATTCACTTCCTTAGATTTGTACTTTGTGATTTAGTATACTGTACCCTGGGCTGGTTATGTTAACTGAAAAAATAAAGCCATTAACTGAGTTTTGCAGTGCTCTAACTTAAACAGAAGAACAGCTGTTCACATATTTTAGCATTTCACATTTGTATAACTTAAAAATTGCCATGTGTCAAAATCATGTTTTTGTAATTGCTAAGGCATGATATGTCAGGTTATTTGAATATAATTACTTTTTGAAGTAATTGTGACCACAAAACATCTTTTTCTACATGAAGGAGCTGTACATCATTTGAAATTACTCAAATGATGTCTTACTCTGAAGCATAAACTTAAAGTTTTTAGTAATATGGTGCCACTTCAGGATTTGGGGGCAGTGAGGAAGAACAAGGATAATGGTGAGGGGAGGCTTGGTCTGAGACTGAGTGAATTGCACTGCAGCTTTTGTCTGTGGGAATTCCTTATTTGGTATGTCAGAGGGCAGTGGCAAGCTGAAAAACAATCCAGTAAATGTACTTCGTTTTATATTTTGTAGCAGGCAATTATCAACCACTAAATAATAGCTTTGACATTTGCAATTGTTGCACAGAGAGTATTTTTGCTAGCAGATCATTAGTTCTTGCCTTTATTTTACAGTGCTTAGTGTGATAAGCTTCTGCCTACCAAAAAGACCAGTTAATACATAAACCACAGAAACAGTGTAAAAAACTATTTTAAAATTATCATTTTCCTACTTACAAATTGTTTAGCTTAGGACTTAAGACATTTGTAAAAGCAGGTTAAATTTAATAAGGTTTCCGATTTTTTTTTTTTGTAACTGGAGATAGTTTTTTCACGTGAAATAAGATTTCAGCTAAATAAAACATTGCTAAATAATTGATATTTGATGAAAATCTTCCTTTTATAATTTCTGCAAATTATACTTGTTCTGAGAAAGGTGTAAAGCCCTAATAATAAGAGATTTTTAAACAAATCCTTATCCTTTTTTTTTTTTTTTTTTTAAACAAAGCACTATAGCCTGTCTGGGGTGCGGTGGCACGATCCCAGCTCACTCCAACTTCCATTTTCCGCTTTCAAGCAATTCTCCTGCTTCGCCTCCCAAGTAGCTGGGACTACAGGCATGCACCACCACACCCGGCTAATTTTTTTTTTTTTTTTTTTGTATTTTTAGTAGAGACAGGGTTTCACCATGTTGGACAGGATGGTCTCAATCTCTTGACCTTGTGATCCACCCACCTTGGCCTCCCAAAGTGCTGGAATTACAGGCTTGAGCCAATGCGCCCGGCCTATCCCTTGATTTTTTAAACTCTGATCTAATGATAAAACTATAAATTTTCATTTTCTAGTGCCGTTAGTTACCTTTTTTGAAATAGCTGGTAATTTATAGTTCTTACCTGTTAAACATAAATGCACAGCAAGCAAATGAACTTAAGAGGACTAACTGGAGTAAGTGTTCATAAATGAAACCTTGAAGTATTGAATACTAAAATTGAAATGTGGGTTAAGAAAGAAAAAAGAATTTAAAAACACTGGAAATGAAGGAGACAGCAAAACCAGCATTGAATAAAGCTGATTAAGACTTGATATGGCACTGAGAGAACAATATAATTGATGCAGCATTATATTTTTTTGGAAAAATATCTTGCAAATGAAAATGGATCCCCACTGCTCTTAGGATAAATTCCAGGGTATTGTTAACAGGACGTCAGAAGCCCTTTGTGGTACCTCTGAAAGCGAGCCCAACAAAACTTGCTGTCTCTCCACTGGTAGATCCCCTCTCCAGCCTGCACTTTTGTCTTTATGTTTTTGCATATGCTGTTCCCTCAGTGGAGGCCAACTTATCCCATAGCTTCCTGGACACCCACTTTTCCAGGTTATCTCCTACTCATTCTTCAGGGCTTGGCTTAGGTAATCCTTAATTCCAAGTGGCATGCAATGGTCATTCTCCATGCTCCTCAGCAGCCTGTACTTCCCTGTCACAACTCTCCTCATGTTGAGTTGTGATATGCTGCCTGGCCTCTCTCTCTCTGTAGCCTGTAAGTAAAGTTCAGAGCAAGGCTGGGTCTTATTTGCCTTTGTATTCTTGTCATTTCTTGGCATTTATTAGGAGCCTGATAAATGCTTGTTGAATGCACAAAGCATGAACACATTTTGAATTTTTAAAAGGGCATCCATAATGAAATATGCCCATCCAAATCTAAAAATAAGCATGCAGCTAGGTTTTAATAGAAATGAGGCCAGGTTTGAGAGAAATGTAACTGTTGGTCAAAACCTAGACCAATTCAGTAATGAGCATTTTTTTTTTTCATATACAAAGGCACTGGAAGTGAAAGAAAGATGATTAATGTATAGCTTAGACCCTTAACAGTTTTCTAATACAGACATGTCAAGAAAGAATTAGCTTACCAAAAGACAGTGCTTTTTCGACCAACAAATAAAATTTACTGTATGATTTATCATAAAGCTAACTTTTGTTTAGCCAAAAAAAGGGAACTTAAAATGTGTATAATTTTTTTCATGAACTAACAATAGATTACTTTTATCTATAGATCTGTGTGTTTCTTAATCAGTATCATTAAGTTTTAATCTTAGCCATTTTCGGGTTTAATATTAAAAGTTCTTTGTATCATATTTGGCTGTCTATAGTGGTATATAAGTTTTCTGCTGACTTACTGCTTTTTATAATCCATGCTCACCATCTTGAACTCCTTTTGGAAAAAAGCTATGTTTGAGATGGATGAAGAATCCTGGAGTTTAGATAATGCATTTCCTTGTTGCAAAATGTGTAACTCTGAAAAAACTAAATTACAGTTATTGTATATTAAACAGCTATTGCTGAAATTTACTTGAAAGCTTTTGACAGAGTAGCTCAGTATCTGAGGAGAAGTTGTTCTTCACGGTCCAAGGAATTAGGAAGCTCCATAACATGTTCCAAGGGATCTGGCAATTTCTACTACCTTTAGTTGCATTATCTGAGATATCACAGGCCATAGTCTAGATGCAAAAATATCTTTTTATTTCAATAATACATCAGAACATAATTTTAAATGTACTAGAGAGAGAAACTTTAAATTCAAATTCAAATGTGTGTGGTATTAGCAGTGCAAATATCACCACCAAGGAAGCAAGCAGATGAGCCAGTGCCTCCTGTGCAGTGTCGAGTTTGCATGTGCAGAAAATCACCTTCGGTGTATTGTGGTGTAGTGCTCTACCTGGTAGCTGGCAAGTGTGTTTGGCATACATTGTAAGCCACTTCCTGATTTTAGAAGTGTTATGCTGTGCAAAAAGTGCAATTAGAATTGGAGATATTTGACAAAAGGCAGGGTGAATAAATAGTGTAATGATAGTTATATAAAGTATTATAGGAGTGCAGAAGAAGGAGCCATAATTTTAACCAGGAAGACTAAGGAAGGCTACAGTAGAAGTTGATATTTGAGCCAGAAATCCCTAGGGAAAGAAGGAAAGAAAACTTGTTTTAGGCTTTGGGCTAATGCACAATGGCATCATAGTGCATGGTATGTTGACAGCATTGTATTTAGGCCTGAAGCTGGAGCCCAGATGGGTGGGAGGTGCTTTAGCAGATGGTGCTGGGAAGATAAGACCCTGGTCAGGGTGAGTCTGCTGAGGAGGCTGGACTTTATTCTTCAGGCAGTGGAAGGCCACTGAAGATTTGGGGACAGAGGTGAGTTAGGGCTGACTTATCTACTAGGCACAGTGTCTAGGAAGCACAATAATTTTAGGGTCCACAAAAATATTTACATTTTAATTGCCTTTAAAACCAGAATAAAATAAATAAGCAGAACAATAATGAATTCATCTTTATTCAAATGCAGTCATTATAATATGTGTTTTTTTTTTTCTTCCTATTAAGAGGAATAGGTCCATGAAGGTAAAAGTGCCTATGGCCTACAAAAGTCATACTGCAGCCCCAGGGAAAAGAGGGCAAAATATGAATCCTGGAGATAATTGACAGCTGTGTGAAGGATGAATCCCACCTGTGGTTCCCAACTGTGTCCTGGCTATATCAGATTTACTTGATTAAACACAGATTCCCTGCTATGCAGCCATTAAAAGGAACCAGACCATGTCGTTTGCAGAGACACGGATGGAGCTGGAAGCTGCTATCCTCAGCAAACTAATGCAGCAACAGAAAACCAAACACCACATGTTCTCAGTTATAAGTGGGAGTTGAAGATGAAAACACATGGACACATGGCAGAGAACACACACTGGGGCTTGTCAGGGTGTAGGGTGGGGTAGGGGGAAGGAGAGCATCAGGAAGAATAGCTAATGGATAATGGCCTAACACCTAGGTGATAGGTTGATCTGTGCAGCAAACCATCTTGGCACACGTTTACCTATGTAACAAACCTACACATTCTGCACATGTACCCCAGAACTTAAAATAAAAGTTGAATGAAAAAAAAAAGGAAAAGAATACACAGATTCCAGAGCCCCAGGCATGCTTGATTTAGGAGGAAGGGGAGGGGTATGCTAGAAGACAGAGCATGCCTGTGGAGGACCAGGAAAACAATCGAATGGCAGTTTAGCTGATGACCTGAGAAACCACAAAGGCCCTAGCCAGGGCAGTTCCAGTAAGACTGGGAAAAAAAGGCAGCCTGGGGAAGCATTGCACAGGTGAATGACAGACTGACAACCAACCAGTGGTAGGGTGTGAGGTACAGGAGTTGCCTGGATGGCAGCAGGAGAGAAGGTAGTATTTCTAGTCTTAGCCAGAAGTGGAAAATGTGACCAACTGTTTTTCTCTGCTGCAAGCTCACCATAAACATGCCTGTGGAAGGGCTGAGGATACTGTCAGCTTGGCACAAGTTTTCACCAGGCTTTCAGCTTTTTGGTAGACTGCCCATTAGGCTGTGCAATTGCCCAGGGGAGTGCTGTGGAGGGATGAGAGGCAGGAGCAGGCCCTGTGTTTGCCTTGAGGAGGAGTAAGATAATGGGCAGAAATGCTAGAACTGAAGCTCCGTGGCTCTGGGCTGAGTCCAGGCCTG